GGAAAAGAGAGAATTCTTCGAGTTCTGTCTCTGTTTCATCCACTCTCATTCGCTTCTGTCTTCTTCCTCTCTTCTTCTCATCTTCCTCTCTTCTCTCTTCTTGCCATATCTGCCTCGCTTCCTGCTCTGTTCTCTATCTTGCGCTTCGCAAGGCGCTCAGAGCGAGCTGATGGGGGCGTTGCTCGAGTGTTTGGCATCTTCAAGTAAAGGTCGATCATAGTTGATCGGGGAATGAGTAGTGCCTGTTAGAATCGAGATTCAAGATTAGTCTCATGCTGAATGCGGACGATTTGTCCAGGCGGCACATACTCAGGTTTTTATTCTAACCTAAGTTGCAGCCACGACCCAGTGATACTTTTCGTGGTGTAGGTACTACTTCCTCTCTACAGAAAGGAGGAAGCAATGATCAAGTGTCTTGCGGTTGATTTGCCTCTGGAAGGATATAACTGGTCGAGTAAACAGGCTGGTACAGTGGTGGCTGGTACCGGTATCTGGATGGATCCGTGGGGGTAGCAATGCGGGTAAGGGCTAAGGAACTGCAAGTGTAAAACCGTAGAAGCTTGGTAAGACGCTGCGTAGAAATAAGGCGTTCTATCCAAGCCAAGGAGATACTGTCACGTCCTTAATTTGTTGTTGTTGTTTTTTTTTTTTCTTACCTAGGTCTTTTTATATCTAGTATTTTTTTTTTTTTTTTTTGTGTTCTTTTGTTGTTTTTGTTTTTCTCTCTTTTTTCATGACCAAATGACCTCCCTCCGCTAAAAGGCGGGACGGCTTGGCGCCGAAGGGTGTTTTGGAGCGCGGCTGGCTACAATTGTGCACATGAAACACCCATCTTAGGGGGGATGGCGGCCTTGTACCATGACCCTCAAGTTTGGGGTTAAGGGGAGGGGTAACTGGTTCAAATCACATCTGTTTTGCACAACTACTCACATGTAGTAGATATGCTAGCTAGCAGGCTAAGCTTAGTATGCATACTTACTTTAATGAGAGGCAAAAATAGTAGTTTTGATAGCTATGAAATAGCCAACCAGAAGTTGCAGAGATGTGTGATCCTACTGTAGAACTGTACAGATACTGGAGAACAACCAGGAGTGGGTCTTGGTGCTGGTCCGGGTGTGGGAGCGGAGTTGTGTTGTAGAGTTGACCAAGGGGGTTTTGGTCCTGGGGTGGGACCTGTGATATTCTAAATAGATTCCTCACGGTGTGCCATTGTACACCATGAAGTCTCCTGCATCCCTTCAATCTAATCTGAACTTGTTTGTGGCTAACGTTTTTTGGCCTCTAGGCGTGATTGTGTTTAGGCCAATTTATTCTAAAGGGTTCAGTTTGTCTCAGATACTTTCTCTGGTGACACTTTTGCTCCAAGAAGAGTCCTTACCGTAGTAGATGTTGTGCAATGAGACTGCCAGAACAGATGCTGTTCCACCATTAAACAAATCTCTAGCAGCATGTAAGCTTCCTTTCATCTGAACAGGTTGGGGTTGAGCCCCTCCCTAATCTCAAGCTAGGACCCTTTGACATGTGGATTTGGAAGGGGCATAAGAAGCCATAAATCATTTCCAAAAAGATGCAAGAGCTTCAGTAACTATCAATACTAATCAATACCATTGCACTCCCACTTTTCATGGCTTTCCTGCACCTGGCCCACATGGTGCTGATGCTTCCACAGGTTGACAAAAATGAGTTGACAAGCCAGTCCTTATGGTCCTGGCAACCAAAGAACTTCTGCCAAGTGCACTAGTCAATAATAAGTAAGACCACCAGAAAAGCCAGAAAGCATTTGACAGTATCTTGCCTGTTGCGAGAGTCATCTAGATACAATGATGAAGATTGACTTGCGACGACTGTTCCAATTCCCTTCATGTGCACTTGTGTCTGTGAGGCCAGCTTCAAGTACCTGTAGATTGGTCTGTTTCATCTTCTTTGTAGTTCGCTCAACCTGTTCAAGGCTGGTTTGATCCTCCGCAGAAGAATGAGGCCTCTTGTTGTTGGTGAACTCGTCACCGCTGTTCTTGCCCAAGTCAATGTGAGCTGCCAGCAGCTGACATAGGTGGCATATGGTGAAGGAGATGTAATAACATTTGAGACGTCCATTTCTGCTGTCGGTGGGTTTCTATTGACAATTCGGGCAGCGTCTGGATTGGGACAGTCGTTCCTGAAATGGCCCACCACTCCGCAGATCCAGCAAGGAACAGAAGCCAAAGCAGCATTCATTACTTTTTGTCGTTCTTCGTCGTCCTCCATGGCAGTGTATTGAGGGCACCTTTTCACCCAATGCTTTCTACTCTTACACAAGTAGCAGGAAAATCTATTTCGAGCGGCATGTTTTCGACGATTGTGTTCCAGGCGAGATTCTCTTGCTTCTTTGGTCTCATGGCCATGGATTGGAATAATTCGTGGTGGCTGTGGCGTGTTGAGTTTCTTGTTCTTTTTCGACGACGGGTTGAGCACGACCCGTGGGAGGCAACAAGGTGACAAACAGAGATAGGGGCACAGCTGAGAGCCCAGTCCGTTCACAAGGCCGGCCAAGGATGGACTGAGCATTTTGCACAAGTGGATTCCTGTCATGGCGATTGGTAGATTGTCATTCTCAGCGGACAAAGCCTGAAGACGTTCTATCAGGATGTCATACTGGTGCAAATTAGTATCAGACCATAATTCGATCATTGGGAAGCTGATACCGGCATTGGCAGTGTGACTATCACTCCTCTGATTGGCTTCCTTCAAATGACACCAGTCAATGTCTGTCGCTTTTTCCAGCAATATAATCTTCTTTAGATGCCGTGGTCTTGAGATTTGATCCTGGGTGGTGGCTGCTGTCGCATCTTCAGGTTGCCAGAATTCGCTTGCCATGTAAGATAACATCATTGAAAAGATGCCTTTCCCACCACAGACATCCACCGCGAGAAACCCGTTTTCCGCGGATGCATCCGATTCGACCACCTCGTTCATCCATTGGCGCAGATGATACAAAGCCACAATGCACTCTTCAGCTTCGTGATGCAGACTGTTTTTGTTCAACACAGACGCCCATGCCGCATTCCCAGCCCATTGCTTCCCCCAAAGTCGAAGAATGGATGTCACCTGAAGAGTAGTGGCACGATATGGTTCCATCATCATTCGGTTTTTCTCGTCTTCATTTAGAAGAGTCTCGATGCAAGTCCACACCCGCCAGTATGACCCAGGATCAATCCCTGTTCTATCCACTCCATCCTCTTGACTGTCACTCATCTTCTGCTATACGGTCTGAGCGATGTGTGCCTCGGAGTCTCGAGGTTCGAGGTTGCCAACGTTTTTGCGTGGTTGGGGTTCAACATGGGCAAAAAATGAGTGTGTAACTTGAACCCTAACCTTGAAGCCTCCTGGTTGCTGGGAGGAAGAAGACGTTGTATTCGGCTTTTTTTCAGCTTCGTCTCCTGTTTCCTCAGTTTGTGGCTACTTGGATCCCAATCCAGCCATTGTAGCCAGCTACGGTCAGTAGGCAGAGAGTTACATCGATCATGACAGTGGCAACAGTACAACACACTCAGTTCCGCTTTACTGGCTACACTTACCACTACTTGCATTGGATCTTATGACGAATACATGCACAACCGAACATTGTCAATCTACCATCGTAGCCAAATACCGTAGAGTTCATCGATCCATGACAGTGGCAACAGTAACGAACACACATCAGGTTCGGCTTGCTCGCTACCGGTTACCTCGCATTGGACCTTATGACAAATACACGAACAACCGAATATTGTCAATCCAGCATCGCAGCCAGCTGCATGCATATAGCTAGTGGCAACAGAACCTCGCCGCGTAAGTCCGGCTGGCACTCGCTACACTTGTTACCGGGTACTCGCAACAGGCAAGATACTGTCAAATGCTTTCTGGCTTTTCTGGTGGTCTTACTTATTATTGACTAGTGCACTTGGCAGAAGTTCTTTGGTTGCCAGGACCATAAGGACTGGCTTGTCAACTCATTTTTGTCAACCTGTGGAAGCATCAGCACCATGTGGGCCAGGTGCAGGAAAGCCATGAAAAGTGGGAGTGCAATGGTATTGATTAGTATTGATAGTTACTGAAGCTCTTGCATCTTTTTGGAAATGATTTATGGCTTCTTATGCCCCTTCCAAATCCACATGTCAAAGGGTCCTAGCTTGAGATTAGGGAGGGGCTCAACCCCAACCTGTTCAGATGAAAGGAAGCTTACATGCTGCTAGAGATTTGTTTAATGGTGGAACAGCATCTGTTCTGGCAGTCTCATTGCACAACATCTACTACGGTAAGGACTCTTCTTGGAGCAAAAGTGTCACCAGAGAAAGTATCTGAGACAAACTGAACCCTTTAGAATAAATTGGCCTAAACACAATCACGCCTAGAGGCCAAAAAACGTTAGCCACAAACAAGTTCAGATTAGATTGAAGGGATGCAGGAGACTTCATGGTGTACAATGGCACACTGTGAGGAATCTATTTAGAATATTACAGGTCCCACCCCAGGACCTACAAACCCCCTTGGTCCAACTCTACAACACACTCCTGCTCCCACACCCGGACCAGCACCAAGACCCACTCCTGGTTGTTCTCCAGTATCTGTACAGTTCTACAGTAGGATCACACATCTCTGCAACTTCTGGTTGGCTATTTCATAGCTATCAAAACTGACTATTTTTGCCTCTCATAAAGTAAAGTTATGCATACTAGCTAGCTAGCTAGCTAGCATAGTCTACTACATGTAGTAGTTGTGCAAAACAGATGTGATTTGAACCAGTTACCCCTCCCCTTAACCCCAAACTTGAGGGTCATGGTACAAGGCCGCCATCCCCCCTAAGATGGGTGTTTCATGTGCACAATTGTAGCCAGCCGCGCTCCAAAACACCCTTCGGCGCCAAGCCGTCCCGCCTTTTAGCGGAGGGAGGTCATTTGGTCATGAAAAAAGAGGCAAAATCGACACACAAACCAACAACAAGACACACAAACTAGCTAGATAGCGGTAGCCTACAACGCACTCAGCGGTAGCTAGTCAACAACAACAAACTTAAGACTGACAGATCTCCTTGGCTTGGATAGAACGCCTTATTTCTACGCAGCGTCTTACCAAGCTTCTACGGTTTTACACTTGCAGTTCCTTAGCCCTTACCCGCATTGCTACCCCCACGGATCCATCCAATACCGGTACCAGCCCTGTACCAGCCCTGTACCACCGTATATCACTCAGACATTGATATCTCTCTCAGAGAGGAAGTTCACAGCCAGAGGTACTCACTCTCATCAATTGAGGGTAAGAATAAACACCGAGTTACGTCTGTCCTTGGAACAAATCAGGTTGGCATCAGCAGCAGACGTAATTGACTCGATTCAATTCATCCATACAGATACCTTTATTGAAGATGCCAAACACTCGAGCAACGCCCCCATCAGCTCGCTCTGAGCGCCTTGCGAAGCGCAAGATAGAAACCGAACAAGAGCAAGAGGAAGCAAAGAAGGCCAAGACTTGGAAGGAGGAAGAAAACGAAGATGAAGAGGAGGAAGAAGAAGAAGAAGAAGAAGAAGAGCAGGAAGATCAGAATGAAGACGACGAAATGGCGGTGGATGAAACAGAACAGGAACGCCTGGAAAAGGAAGAAAAAGAACGGAAGCGAAAGGAGCGGGCCCTTATACGACAGAAAGGCAAGGCTATCTTGGATGTTGATTTTGTGCCTGAAGCAGCGCCCACTGCCATTCTTGCAGAGACCAAGCCCAAAAAGGGTCCCATCAACTCCGGAGTCACGCCTTTGTGGACGTTTATGATTGACAAGCTCAAGGCATACAAGGAAAAGCACGGCAACACTCGTGTGCCCCCAAAATATGCAGAAGATGCTGCCTTGGGCACCTGGGTCAAGCAGCAACGACGCACTTACGTGAAGCAGGGATTGTCAGATGGCCAGCGAGTGTCCTTGGAAAGCTTGGGCTTTGAGTTTGTCATTGACGACGATGAACTTCCTGTCTTGACCTGGGAAGAGAGCTTTGAGCAAATGAAAGCATTCAAAGCAAAACATGGGCACACAACAATCCCAAACAATTACGAAGAAGTGCCCTCCTTGCAGTTCTGGTGCTTTTACCAACGGGAAATGTACCGCAAGCAAAAGCTAGACCAAGAAAAGATCTCCAAGCTGGAGAGCCTGGGTTTCTCGTGGGATCACACGTGGACAACGGAAAAGGCAAAGCCCAAAACTTTGGAAGAGATTTGGCAGATGCAGTACAGCAAGCTCATGGTGTACAAGGAAAAAGAAGGACACTGCAATGTACCAGGCAACTATCCAGTCGATCCTAGGTTTGGAAGATGGATCGAGACACAGCGGACCACGTACAAACGAGGCCAACTGTCAGAAGAGCGGATCGGGCTCTTGGAGGATATTGGTTTTGAATGGTACCGAATTAGAGGTCCCAAGCTAGGAACGGCAAAGCCTCCCGATACAGTCGGCAAATCACAAGAGGAAATCTGGCAGATGAGATTGAAGGAGCTCGAGGTATTCAAGTCGCAGAACGGGCACACAAATGTACCGCTTACGTATTATGCAAACCCGATCCTTGGTCGTTGGGTTGGAACTCAGAGGACTGCCTATCGCCGCCAACAAATGGCTCAAGATAGGATCGACGGTCTGGAATCCCTGGGGTTTGAGTGGCGAATCAAAGATTCCCAGGCAGCAAATGCAATACCCGAAAATGATCCCAACTGGGACGCCATGTACGAGAAACTCGAAGCCTACAAAGAGGAATTTGGTGACGTGAACGTCCCTAGGGGTTATGCACGAGATCAAGTCCTGGCGCGATGGGTTCAGGCCCAGCGACGTGCGCAGCAGATCGGGAAGATGCCAGAGGATCGAAAGTCTTCACTCGATGCAATCGGCTTTGACTGGGATTACACAGAGAAGCGAGGTACGTTGTGTGTGTTATTGTTGCTAGAGTGGGGTCGACACACAACTAGTGATTTAGTATCGCGGCTTACGAGATACTGTCTCGCTTTCCGTGTGCTTCTCTATAACCTTCGCAGCTGCTAGCAACGTTGACTCTAATGCGGCTATCTGGTCTCTTCAATATGAAAAGCTGAAGCTTTTCAAGGAATTGAATGGACACTGCAACGTGCCAAAGGACTACAACATCGACCCCCAGTTTGGCCGCTGGGTCCAGACTCAGAGGACAACGTTCCGACGCCAAGCACTGTCCGAGGAGCGGCAGAAGCTACTCGAGTCCCTGGGTTTTGAATTTCGAGTTCGTGAAACCCCAAATCTCAACGAACAAACTGAGATTTGGCAGATGCAGCTGGAAAAGCTCAAGATCTTCAAGGAGGCAAATGGTCAGCCCTTATTTTGAGTTGTTTTGTTTGCGCTGGTCCGTCTGTTTCTAACACGTTCATTACATGCAATCGTGTGTTCCAGGTCATTGCAATGGTAATTTGATCTTCAGCGTGTGTATGGGTTGCCTTCTCAGTTTTGTTTGTCTAACGTTAGTTTTTTGTTTGAACTCGCCAATCTTCAGTGCCGTCGAGCTATATAGTGGACCCTGCCCTTGCCCGCTGGGTGTGCACACAACGCACAACCTACCGTCGGAAGCAGATGCCAGAGGAGAGGACCCAGGCTCTTGAATGCATTGGTTTTGAATGGAGATTGGGCCCACCTTCAAGAACTTGGGGAGAAAATTTCGCCCTCTTGAGCGAGTTTGCGAAAGAGCACGGCCACCCTCATTACGGCCGTAAAGGCACCGGGGATAAGACTTTGCAAAATTGGGTTGTTACCCAACGCCAGAAGTTCGCCAAGGGCCTGCTGTCGACTGAGCAAATTGATCAGCTGACCCAACTTGGTTTCGCATTCACAGTAGAACAGGAAAAACTCCTGCTTTGGGACCATCAATTCGACAAGCTGAAGGAATTTCGTACGTTGAGTCGCCTGTTTTGTCTTCCACTTAAGCCAAGCACACTCTTTCCCTCACAAATGCCCCGTCTTCTCCATTCCTCAGAGGGACAAAATGGCCATTGTGGTATCCCAAGTAACTTTCCGGAGGACCCTGAGTTGCTTGAGTGGATCTCACAACAGCATACCTTGTACTTCGGCAAAAAGCTACCCCAAGAGAAGGTCGAAAAACTGGTTTCTATTGGTTTCATTTTCAACAATGATGGCAACGCTGCGGACGGGGAAGAAAAAAAGCCTTCGGGCACGCGTGTCTCCTGGAACAAGCATTTCGAAAGTCTTAAGACCTTCAAGGTTTGTGAATTCGTTTGGCTGGATCTCTCCCTTGACTCCACTCGTCATGCTAAACTCTCATATCCTACCACACCACCAGGAAATCCATGGACACACTCGAGTCCCGCTCAATTATCCCGGGGACCCTCGTCTTGGACGCTGGGTAAACAATCAACGAAAGCTCCGTGAGAAGGGCCAGGGCCCTCGCGAAGATCGGATGGAAGTAAGTGCAGGAGAACCATCGGCTTGCACAGTTCCCTTTGTGTGTGTGAAGCAAATCTGACCATTTGGCTTTTGCTGCAATTCAAGCGTTTAAACGAAATAGAATTCGATTGGACAACAGACGGTTTGCCTGCTGTGGCACCCCACGGTGTGCCTGCTGCAGCTGCTGCCCCTGGGGCCACTCCCACTAGGGACGTGGACGTTTTGCTGGACGCAGCTAGCGCAGCCAGGGCACCCACAGGCGCGGGAACCCCTGCGATCACATGGGCCCGCAATGATTCGCATAGGAGCAAGGCACAGACTGGCGTAACACAAATGGCTGTACGGCTCGAAGTTGAGCGCACGAAGCTTGACAATGAAAACAAGCAGCTCAAGCGCAACAACCAGAAGTTGCAGGCCTTGAATGATAGCCTCGCAAAACGTTTGGCAGAGGCTGAAGCTGAATTCAAGGAGCAAGCAAAGGAGCTCAACGAGAAACTTCAGTACTACGATGAACAATTTCAAACGCAGCAGGCGACACTGGAAACTCAGGGTCAGCAGCTCGCCCAGTTACTCCAACAGCCTGGCGCCGGCCGAGATCGCCATGAAGAGCAGATGCGTGAGACATCCGAGACGGTCCAAAGCCAAGGAAATCAATTGTCTCAACTCGCGCAACAAGTTCAGGATATGCGCCAGGTGCAGTACACGCTCCAGCATCAGGTCGGACTGCAGAATCTGTCTTATCGCTTATAGACAAGTATTGCAGCGAAAAACACACAATCAAATCGGGGTACCTTTGCTTCCTCTGGTGTCCTCTAGGAGTAGTCTATGTCTGCTTTTCTTCAATACAGGCATGAAACTATGATTAGATAATGAAGTCTAGCTAGTACATTGTAGGAACATCTACCGACCAGTTGGTATCAGGTGAGAGTTGAAATTTCGAATCATCAACAGCCACCTTCTGTCACCGGATCCTTGTAGAGGGTGTTGAGAGGGCCTAATACTCCTATGACAGTATGTTCATACACCCTCTGGATCGATCGCTACGGCATGATGAAGTAATGGTGTAATGCGACGATTTTTATGATGTTATTTCGCGATTTACTCAAATTTTTCGAAAAAGTGAGACGGTTCCATTTCCAGTGAGGCTCGGCTGGCTAGTCATGCTTCCGGTCATCTCATTTTTTCGAAACACACTAAGTCACACTTCCGCGAAAAAAGAAATCACGATCACAAAGATAATAGCCGGTCAATCGTCCAAGCCCTCTTTGACCACTGTAACGAGATGCTTTTGCTCACAAGCAGTCCACCATCGAACCAGTGACACAAGAAGCCGTCACCAAAGATGTCACGCTTCACAAATTCCTCCAAGATCCCATCATTGCGTCGTGAAAGATTCCGACCGAAGATCGCGACGCCATCATCCCGTCGCCAAAACAGAGCCACAAACTCAATATAAAGACAACCAACCACACCCCACAAACACACAGCCGTCATCCCCTCCTATTGCATGCCTTGCAACACTCACTCCTCCACTTTATCCTCTTCACCAGCATCCTAAAATGGCAACAGTTCCAAAGGAGTTAGAAATAAGACCAATAAAAAGGCAACATTTGCAGCACAAACTTACCTTTGATTCCTCTTCGGAAGAGGAAGAAGAGGACGGATCATCCACATCCTTCTCCTTTGGCTCCTCCTCTCCAGTAGCATAAGTGGCCAACGAGGCTGCAATATTAATTTTCTTGCCTTCAACAGCATCGGGATGGAGGATCACCGTCTGGGAGTAAGACTTTGACTTTGGATCCCTCTTCCTTGGACCACCACGCCTGTCAACCTTGACATCATCATTTTCCTCAGCGGCCGCCGCAGCCAAGCCCCCCGTTTTCCAGACCTCAAGGTCCCACTTGCGCTAGACTTCTTGCTATTCCCAATCTCCCGAACGGTACATCCTTCCCACTCCATAATATCAACAAGGTGTTGGGAGAACTGGTTGACATCATAGACGATTCGTTCACTCCTTGGGTTGAACTCGTAGACACGTCTCAAGCAATAAGAGCCACGGGATGGAGTAGTGTAAGAGAACTTGAGCTCATGATCCTCTGGCAACTCGTGAGTCTGCAGCACGTGATAGTCAATGGCAGCGTCAAAATCCTTGTTCAAACTGCAGTCTCATGGCATGAGCTCCGGCGAGTTACCCACTGGTGCTTGGGAATAGTACCGCTTGTGCTTGGGAGTGTGAGTGTTGAGACCACACTCCGGCAAGATCCAATGCTTGAGATAGCCCTTTTCCTCCAACCATGCCGGGGTTGAGCTTTCCATTTGCATCGCGGCGGAACTTCAAATGGAACTTGCGACCAGCTTGCGAAGCCCCTTGCCCAATGACACACTTGCGGTGAGTCTCATCCCAGAAAACGACCTTAGTAAGGTCAATCTTGGTCAACTTATCCGCCAAGAACCATTCAGGACGATTGCCATCCTTGCCTTGCGAGTCCATGAATGCATTGGCTTCATCTGTCAACTCGTCCTCCTTTCCAAGTCGAATCAAGAGTTGGATGACCCATCCAAAGCGTGCAGTGGCCCAAGTCGACGTCTTGTCCATGTTGCCTTGCTTCAAACGCTTGATGGGAGTGACCTTCGGCTTGAGACGTCTGGAGAGATGCCACACAGCAGAAATGAAAACTTCCTCTTGATCGTTCTCCCGGCGGTGGTCATTGACTTGCAACGTGGCTTGTCGAATGCTGAAGCCAGCCTCCAGATGATTCGTAACGATCTGGGCTTCCCGGGAACCATTCGGAATCTTGGGTGGACGGGTTTGACCTGAGGCTTGACGCTTGCCAGTGTATCGACGTTTCTTGGCTTTGCATTCAACGAGATCCTCCAAGACGTAGTCAATCTTGGTAACGGATGGAATATTGAGGATATCCTTGATCTTTGCCATGTTCCCTCTATTCTTTCCCCACATCTCTCTAGGAGGCGCGCCCAAGACGTTGAAATAGACAAAGGCAATGGCAATACGATGGTAAACTTCTTCATCCATGACGCTTTCGACATTGAGTTCTTCCAAGGCTTTTTCAAGCATGTCAGCCTCGCTCAAGAGTTCAAGATCATCCTCGTAGACAAGCAAACTCCTCGTCCTCGTCGTCGGGCTTGGATGGTTCATCGTCATCGCACCAATCAGTCCCAAGTAGCTTGTGGGTCAGTACGAGGCAGCAGCAGTCCTCCTTTCAATGTCCGCAGTGGACGAGTCAGATGAGTCCAGGAGGCCAGACGAGTCAAGTGGCGAGATCCCTTTGCACTTTACAGCATGCTTGCGAGGAGTGGGAGTTCTGGTAGCAGCAGGTAGACTTGCAGAGCGAGGCTTGTGCTTGCTCCTGGTGGTGGGAGGAGCAGGAGACACTTCCCTTGGTGGAGTCTTCTCACAGCCCTTGCGGTTCTTCTTGTTGTTGGTGAATGAAAATCTCCTCTTTGGTGGCATGTTGTAAGCGAAAGGACTCAGCGTGGAAGCACGTCGTCGGATGCGATGGCGGGGCAAGCAAAGAATGACAATGACAAATCAAAATGACTCGCAGAACAATGGAGCAGTGGAAGAACGGAGCAATCAAATAAGAATCAAACGGCAGATGGCCATGGTCGATGAATAAAGAAGATCCCCAAGAGCGAAAACTCAAAACCCCACTGGTTCCCCTAGAAAGTGTCGATTTTGGATTTTATGAGGCTGAAACTGAACTGAAACTGACGATCGACATGCATGAAACAAACTCTTCCGATTGGATCTTTAAGCGTTGAGGCGAGTCGTCTAGTACAGTTTTACTACTCTCTACCAATACCCATGGTCGCTGAATGCCATGCACACTCATCAAAATATTGTTGTTTATCCATGCAATATGGTCGCAGAGCCAGACAAACATGGACATGAGACTGATAAACATGCAGCGAAATATTCAATCCACGCGATGAGGAATTTGTGAGAGGCAAAAATTTCAATGTGTGGCCGGATTTGACCTTCCCGGCGCACCGGCTCGCTCTTCCATTTAGAAAAAATGGAAAGTTCGTGTCACATTTTCAGCACCAAAGAGAGGCGATCGCGAGAGAACCACATGGTGTCAACCTTGGGGTCGTATGCAATCAATAACGAGAAGGCGTCTGACCATGAGAGCGCATTCTTGCAGAGACCAAGCCCAAAAAGGGTCCCATCAACTCTGGAGTCACGCCCTTGTGGACGTTTATGATTGACAAACTCAAGGCATACAAGGAAAAGCATGGCAACACTCGTGTGCCCCCGAAATATGCAGAAGATGCTGCCTTGGGCACCTGGGTCAAGCAGCAATGATGCATTTACGTGAAGCAGGGATTGTCAGATGGCCAGCGAGTGTCCTTGGAAAGCTTGGGCTTTGAGTTTGTCATTGACGACGATAAACTTCCTGTCTTGACCTGGGAAGAGAGCTCTGAGCAAATGAAAGCATTCAAAGCAAAACATGGGCACACAACAATCCCAAACAATTATGAAGAAGTACCCTCCTTGCAGTTCTGGTGCTTTTACCAACATGAAATGTACCGCAAGCAAAAGCTAGACCAAGAAAGATCTCCAAACTGGAGAGCCTGGGTTTCTCATGGGATCACACGTGGACAACGGAAAAGGCAAAGCCCAAAACTTTGGAAGAGATTTGGCAGATGCAGTACAGCAAGCTCATGGTGTACAAGGAAAAAGAAGGACACTGCAATGTAAAGGCAACTATCCAGTCGATCCTAGGTTTGGAAGATGGATCGAGACACAGCGGACCACGTACAAACGAGGCCAACTGTCAGAAGAGCGGATCGGGCTCTTGGAGGATATTGGTTTTGAATGGTACCGAATTAGAGGTCCCAAGCTAGGAACGGCAAAGCCTCCCGATACAGTCGGCAAATCACAAGAGGAAATCTGGCAGATGAGATTGAAGGAGCTCGAGGTATTCAAGTCGCAGAACGGGCACACAAATGTACCGCTTACGTATTATGCAAACCCGATCCTTGGTCGTTGGGTTGGAACTCAGAGGACTGCCTATCGCCGCCAACAAATGGCTCAAGATAGGATCGACGGTCTGGAATCCCTGGGGTTTGAGTGGCGAATCAAAGATTCCCAGGCAGCAAATGCACTAGTCCAGGTAGGAGCTCGACTCCATCCTCTGCGACGGAAGCGCTGGGAAGGAGGATAGTAACCAACTCGAGGACCATCTTCTTGACCATAGGACTAGGTACGACGATAACCAGAAGAGCGTCCACCTCTTCCGAATCCACGTCCAGCACGCCCACGTGCTCGACCACCACCACGGCCACGAGAGCCTTGTTGGTGAGCGTTGTAATTCTTTTCTTGACGAGCAAAGAACCGACCCATCTGCACTGGACCGATAACCGTAATGTCATGAGCGGAATCAGCAAACTTGTCTTTCCACGAAGGAAGCATCATGTTGTAAAACAACATCTTGAGAGCAGGAGCATCAAAAGGGTTCACATTGCCAGCACCAGGGAACTTCGCCATCAAGGTGTTGATGTACTCCAATCGAGACCACAAGGTCTTGCAATCGAGCTTGAAAGGCTTGGTCGTTGTCTGCAAGTATCGCGTCTGATCGGCGAGATCCGTGTCTTCAAGGAACTTGGCTATGAACGAAGTAATGCAGGCATCGAAATCAGCAACAGCTGCACCAGGACGCGCTGCTTGAATAACGTTCCACTTGTCTCGAGCAGAGCCTTGAAGACACTTGACAAAGAAGTTAGCTCTCAATATCCCCGTGTCCAAATTCAAAGCCGAGTTGCCGGTCACTTGATCGAACTCCTTGATGACTCGAAGGACGTGTTCCGGTTCTTGTTCATCTGCCAGGACAATCATATCATGCTTCCGCTTGATGTTATTGCCAGCATGTTGCCAAGAACAGAACAACTCAGTAGTAGCAACCTCACTCGCATTGTACTCGGAGACCAAAGGAATGACCGTATTCTTGCCCGACTGACCAAGCGTTGTCATGGTGAGATAATGAACCTAGAAATAAATAACAAACAACAGTACTTGCGGCTTTATGGTTAGTAAGAGTCGCAAGTAATGATAAAGAAGAAAAAAGGAGTAACTTCGTAAATTGAGTTACACCCTTGAGTTACCGTTGTTAATAGAGCGAATTTTCAAAATTGTTTGACAATGGCCAAACGCCTAGTATACGGCTGCGTAGAATGTACGCAGGAAGTTTCTGTTGTGCGAAGGACAGACCAAATAACTAGATAAGCAGCAACACTGCACTCTCACTTATCCTTTAGCATGACATTACACTGATTGATAGGTCTCTTGACAGGTTATGATGCCCTACGCTACCGCTAGTACCTTGTATCTCTACCGAAGTGCTTCTAGTCTCCTGCTATTGGCAAGCCAGGTACAACTTGACCAGTTCCAGCTATTCCCAACAACTTCCTCAACTACTACTTTACTTGACTACTACTTTCCGACTTGGTTCTCCGCCCAACTCTTTGCCGCAGACCCTGTCGTTTCATTCCTACTACTACTACGTTTCTTTCCTGTCTCTGTCTGTAATCCCTTCTGCCCATGGATTCTACAGGACAACTCCTTTTGTTGGACGACCAGCGCTCCTCTGAGTCCTCCACCCGACGATGTTTCGACATCCACCACTGCTTCATTGGGTCTCCTGCCGGCCAGTTCCGCTTCACTTCCGCTGATGCTACCCGTTTCCAAAAATACTTCTGCCATACCTTCTCTTTGTACGGCAACGACACACGGTTCTTCACTCACCCTTCACCGTTCACCAAGGATTGTCTCCAGAACGACGATGAACTCCTACCAGCTCTCCGTCGCGAAATTCTTCATGACCTCATCGGCCTGAACCCAGACTCGAATCTCTTTCAACAAATCTACCATGATTGTCAGCCTCTCATCTTCAGCGCCCGCCTTTCCGTCAAATCTCCCAACACTGAACTTGTGCCGCTGACCGATGCTTCACTTGCCGCTGCTCTCAGTGATGTCTCCAATTCCTTTGATCGGCACGGCTACGCCAAATCCCCCGTCCACATTTATATCCATACTGAGCACATCTCCTGACCAGCCTGCCTATTTATTGAATGATTTTTACAGCACCCAACAATCGCCTATTGTCGCTTCCAATACCCCTCTATCCGACCGAAAAATTCAATATTTCAACCCCAACCCATCCCCTTCCCTTTTGCCTGCATTTTCTCCACCCCAACCTGAACCATCCTTGGAAACTGCTACCCTACCACCCCCAGCAACTCCTCGACAATCTGCCCCACATTCCGATCCCGATGCTCTGGCACCCTTGGTTCCACCCCCTTCCATCTTGGTTCCTCCAATTTTTTTTGGGACAGACATTTCTCCCATTTCCAATTACGGGAGGGTTTCTCCTTCTTCCCTCTCTTCTACTTCCGACAATCATCGCCCTTGCTCTGTGGCTCCCTCGGTCAACTCCCTTGCTGATGACGACCCAACAATTTACGTCACCAACACCCGTGCCACCCCTGCCTCCCACTCCCCTTCTTCCAATTTTTCCGTGGCCACTCCAATTTCCTCTGTTCCATCATCAACGTTTGCGGATCCAGCCGATTCCCCGATTGCACGTCCAATTTACAGCCTCTCCACTATGGCTGACAGTGATTCGTCCCATCCTGTTTCCAATCTTCCCCCTTCCTCTCCTTCGCTGGACTACTCCTCTTCGTCGGACGATTCCACCACCAATGGTCCATACGACGAATCCTACTATGACGGCGATCCTTTCTACCAGCATACTGATGATCCCTCTCCCAGCGCATCATCCCCATCTGCTTCCATTGATGATTCCTCATCCCAACGTGCTTACATCGACACTGATAATCCCTCTCACAACGAATCATCTGCTTCCATCGACACCGACGATCCCACTTCCGACGAATCATCCCAACGTGCTTACATCGACACTGATGTTCCCTCTCCCTCTGAGTCATTCCCGCCTGATTACATCGACAAATCCTACTACGATGATGCCAACGATCGATACCTTGATCCCAACACACTCCACCGTGACACTGACTTCGATTATTATTATGACAACAATGAAAATTGCTACCTCTACGACGATACCGACGACTACTTCACTGATTCGTACGGCAATTCTTATTTCTGATTCCCATGCACTCCATTCCTTTTTCCCATCACTCTTTTCGGTTCTGCTTCTCTCACTACTGGTCCTTTCTTCTTTCACGTCTTTTGATCTCCAATGCTATCCCATTCAGATCACGGGAGGGTGTTGCGCGAAGGACAGACCAAATAGCTAGATAAGCAGCAACACTGCACTCTCACTTATCCTTTAGCATGACATTACACTGATTGATAGGTCTCTTGACAGTTTCTTTTGCTTGATGAGCAAATTCCAACCGAACTTGCTTCTGAATTCAGAGTGAACTACGATCGGAATATTGTGAGATTAGACTTAAAACTAGCGTTAAAGCGCCACGTCACACACGTGCGTATGTCAACGGCTCGAAGTTGAGCGCACGAAGCTTGACAATGAAAACAAGCAGCTCAAGCGCAACAACCAGAAGTTGCAGGCCTTGAATGATAGCCTCGCAAAACGTTTGGCAGAGGCTGAAGCTGAATTCAAGGAGCAAGCAAAGGAGCTCAACGAGAAACTTCAGTACTACGATGAACAATTTCAAACGCAGCAGGCGACACTGGAAACTCAGGGTCAGCAGCTCGCCCAGTTACTCCAACAGCCTGGCGCCGGCCGAGATCGCCATGAAGAGCAGATGTGTGAGACATCCGAGACGGTCCAAAGCCAAGGAAATCAATTGTCTCAACTCGCGCAACAAGTTCAGGATATGCGCCAGGTGCAGTACACACTCCAGCATCAGGTCGGACTGCAGAATCTGTCTTATCGCTTATAGACAAGTATTGCAGCGAAAAACACACAATCAAATCGTGGTACCTTTGCTTCCTCTGGTGTCCTCTGAGAGTAGTCTATGTCTGCTTTTCTTCAATACAGGCATGAAACTATGATCAGATAATGAAGTCTAGCTAGTACATTGTAGGAACATCTACCGGTAGGTTTGATCATGACTGTGTGCGTACTTCATACACTGAAGTTGATCTGGGTTCAATTGTTTTACTACTCTGCCAACAACACCCAGCGAAATGCCGATGAAAACAAAGGCGAAGGTTTTCCTGTACGTTCAAGCCTTGTACTTGACTCCGCATTGAAAGACTCGAACCATCGCGAAGTTCAGGAGGCGACACAACTAATCTACCGGTTACCGGTTCGGGCTGCACAGTTCACCCCGACCACAACCGGGAGGTGCTTGCTACGCTAGCGCTAACGAAGATACTGTTTAGTAGAGTACATGAATGCACCGAGTCTTCTGATACAAGCAACCACATCATAGACCGGCTGCTGATTGCAAGGGTATTTCTTTGTGCAAGTGAATTGGTGTTTTTCTTGCTTCAAACTGATCGATTTGCTTGTGTTTGGAAAAAGTACTGCCTCTCTCTAAAGATTGATTGATTGATTGAGCATTGTCCAGATGTTCAAAAGGGTTTCATTGTTATAGAAACAGAAAGCCCTGACTGCCATACGGAATGCCCAACAGGGAATATCCCGCATACGTAGCACCTACAGCGCCAAATCCAATAGTACCTGCCAATCCAGCCACTCTGGCTCCTGATGGTGCATAGTAGGTCGCTCCTGTCATAAATGCTGCAAAGGCTGGTGCACAGAAAGATGCTGCAGCTGGTGATACGGCAGCCAAACCCAATTTCTCATCAAAGTCATACTGAGGGATAGGAGGGAAAAAAAGAATGGAACAAGAAGGAGAAAATGAGAACGATTTGAATGCGCCAAAAGCTCGGCAAAAAACCTTCAAAAGAACCCCTGAACTCACATTATCAGCAAGACCCTCATAGAGAGAATACATGACAGCAAAAACTCCCAGTGTATTGCCGGCTCTGGACCCGTGTCTTCCACAGTGATTCAGCACAGCATTCAATTTGACCCTGAATCGGGAGGATGGCGTCGAGCTCAAGCCTGTCCGTAATCCATACACTCCACCTCCAGCAATCCCAATCACATAGGCAGCTCCTGCATTGGCAAACATGGTAGTCACCACACCACGGCCTTTTTGGTCATAGTCCAAGTAATCAGGGTTATTGCTTCGCCCTCCCAACGCTGGAGCCACTGTTTGAAGTTGGATATTCGTGGAAAAATCGGGCAATGGCGCCCCTGCATCTCCGTCAAATTCCTTATCAGATGCCATGGTTAACAACTAACTGACTGGATGATCGACAAAGTTGATGAGAATGATTTTGGATGGCTTTGGAGGTATCTATAATTTTAAAATACCAGTATCGACAATGGGAGGGTGGTTGGTTGTTGTGAGAATTAAATCTGGTTCTTCGTTTCTGTGTTTCTGTGGCCAAATCCAATTCGTTCTTCTTCTTTCTTGTTTGCACTTGTGCTTCGCGCGGTCGCGTGATCATGACTGCAAAACTCATGATTCAAAATTTGGATTTGAAACCTGCTAAGATGCCAAATAAATACTGGTACCAGCACTATACTTTTCCGGAACGAGAAATCCCTGTGTCAGTTGTCATCACAGCGGCACAGCACAGCCCAATCATGCAACCATGTCACCAGGTCATCCACAGCTCCAACAGGACTTGTGCATTGCATACTAGTATCTTGATGACATGACCATGTCCAAGAAGAAAACTGTAGCATCCTGAGCTATGACTGAAAATACCACAAAATCAACTGATACAAGCCGTGATGGCGAAAGTTGTGCTACCAGCGTCCTGGAAGATTCCATGTTTGGATTTGCCTGCGCTGACATTATCTACCTTTATGCTGATTTGAGGCTGTTATCTGCCACTGGATACACATCCACTCCCTTTGATCAACTAACTGTGGACTCTGATGCCTACTTTGGTCGAATACCTGTCGGAGGGATCGACTTTAATTTGAACGATCGAAAGGACCGTCACAGAAGAACCAACCCTGCCAATATGCTTTTGAGCCTGTTACAAGAACTACAACGGGAAGCAGCCCGATGTAGAGACAGTCAAGTATTGGAGGCACAAGAAGAAAAACTAAGAGGGGCACCCTTTGCGGTTCGTCGACGTCGTCAATCTGCGCCATTGGTGTACATGCCGGCCGGGGTCTCTACCACCAATACCAATGAGAGCAACAGGAGGGGAAACCATGACAGATCCAATGCTCCGGATAACACAATGCTGGATTGTATTGAAATGATTCTGAAATCTAGCATGAAACACGATCCTTCAACGCCCAGAGCATGCGTTCTCAAAGACATCCACACGGGCTGCTGCCTTGAGCATTACTTTCATCTACAGTATTCGCAGCTCCTACTCAGTAACCTCTACAGAGACGCCAAAAATGCGGGTCTGTATGACCCAAACGAAATGGCCACCACTAGACAACAACAAAATTATGACGGGGTCCAGGATGGGGCGTTGTTTCTGTTGGAAGAAGCAGTCCATTCACCCTCTGATGCCAAGATTTACCAAATTCTACAAAGTCAATTCAAGGAGAATTCCATTGCTAGCCAGATTATGAGTGACACAACCGAATTGGTTTGGTTTCATGACTACTTCCCGTCACATGAGGCAGTGTTTGGGATCCTTGTGGACTATAAATTGAAGGTCATTCACGTGGTGTTTCGAGGCACTGTCACTGTGCAAAACTGGGTGAGCAATTTGAAGTTTCACTCTGTAGTGGCGCCCAATCCCATTCCAGAGGATTATCCCAACAAGAAGGAGGATTTCAATCTGCATGATGGTTTCCAGTCCTACATTCTACGACAACGCTTGGATACCCACCAACAGTGGTATGAAACTGTATGTGATTTGGTGGACTACTATGGCAACAGTTTGTTGGGTGGAACCTATGAAATGACTGTGTCAGGCCATTCCTTGGGGGGAGCATGTGCTACCCTCATGGGATTCTATGCTAGCACTGACCCACGAATGACACTACAGGGTCCAGTTGTCATTCAAAGTTTTGCTGCTCCCATGGTGGGATGCCATGCCTTTGCTGATGCCTTTCGTCATCAGGAAAGTGTGGGCAAGCTGCGACATGCTCGATTCTTCAATGAATCAGACATTGTGCCTAGGCTACCAGTCAACATCAAGTTCTGGGAGGCCCGTGGAAGTCCTTGGGCCCACACCGGTCTTGGCATTGAACTGTTCACAATCCACGATGATTCTTGGTCGGCTGCTTCCTTGTGCAAGTGGGTGTTTCGAGGTTGTCGGCAGCGCACCAAGGATTCTTGTCTGGCTGCAATCAAGTATGCCGCCAGAAAAGACTACTGGGAAGCACTATGGGACGCTCTTTGTGGCAACTTGGTGTTTCACCTTGACGTTTGCAACACGGGAAGGAATCACATCATGTTAGAAGTCCAAGCTAGAATGCAGCATGCCCTCTCGCAGTCAGTGGATGATGGCCTTGATTGCTGGACCAAGCTATCCCTCGAAGACCTATATCAAAGGCACCTGAAGGGACAGGAAGTGCAAGTAAGGGATTCATACGCCAAGGTGAAGGTCACTCTGGCCATAGGCACAATTGCAATTGGGGCATCGTCCGTCTTCCTTGGAAGATGGATATGTACATAGATGTGTTGGCTGGTTTGCTAACGAAACGTAAAAAAGACACGTGAGTTGGCTTTGGAGAGACTAGCTAGACTCTAGCTAGTGGGTGCTTCGAGTGATTCTAGGAGGCGTTCAGAAAATCTCCCGTTCTGACTGCGTTCCCGGCTTCTAAAGGCAATGGATTTTGTCTAAACTACTACCTGGCTAAAGAGACCTGCTGCTTGGGCCACTTACCAGGGCGGGGGGAAGAGTGAGTTGGTTGGTTGGGCTGCTGTAGCTCTTGTAGGGATGATTAAACTCAGAAAAAGTGCAGAACGCCACTGGTGCCCACTGATCTGGCTAGTGGAGGGGATTCCCTTGTTTGGCTCAAACTTGTAGCAACGGCCAAGCAACATGGGCCCACTGAGACAAGCCCACATCATCCAAAACAGCGGGGACGCACCAAATATTGAGAAAAAAGCAACTGAAGACGGGGACAGGCCTGGGCCAAAACCCGGAAAAGAGATGCACAAGTTCTTCGTATTTCATCGACTGCACATTGCGGATCACTTGCAAACTGCACAGAACCTTTTTCCTCTGTACCTAAGCATATCCTGGAAGTATGTTGGCAGCGCTATGCTTTTGATTCTCTACGATGCCAGTCTCGTACATGCAGTTTCCTTGGTCTTCTTATGTGCATAGACGACATGGAGTAGACTGATGCCATGATTGACGGAAGCATTGCCATGATAATTCTTTGACAGCAGTGGCGACAAACCAAGCCTAGTGGTCTTCTTTCTACCTAGCTAATGGTTGCACCTGTTTTTTAAGCTACCTTTTCCTTTTTCGGTTGCGTCGAACACTCGGCAACGAATTCATCAATGGTCTGCACCATCGCATCCTCATCAAAATCGCCGGTGAAGACGCAGTTTCCAAGTGCACCCTTGAGCAAGATCAAGCGCAACTGTCCATTGGCGACTTTCTTATCCACACTCATGAGCTTCAAAAAGCTCTCTCGTGTCATGGGAGAATCCACTGGCAGCTCCACGGGTAGGTTGGCTCGTTCCAGCAGAGTGTAAATGCGCTTGACCAGGTCAGCATCAATCCACTCCATTCGTGCGCTCATGGTAGCCGCCATGGCAGTTCCAATGGACACTGCTTCTCCGTGTAGCCATGTTCCGTATCCCGAGTAGTTTTCAATGGCATGGCCAAAGGTATGTCCCAAATTGAGCGTGGCCCGAAGACCGGCCTCCTTTTCATCGGCTTTGACTACAGCCGCCTTGTTTTGACAACTACGGGTAATGGCGTATCGGAGTGCCTGTGGATCCCGTGCCATCATTTCTTCGATATGTTCCTCTTGCCATTCAAAGAACTCGGCATCCCGAATGAGACCGTATTTGACAATTTCGGAGAATCCACTTTGCAGTTCTCGGTCGGGCAGAGTACTCAAGGTTTCGGTATCAATGTAGACACACTGGGGTTGATGAAAGGCTCCGACCATGTTTTTTCCCAAAGGATGGTTGACTCCAGTTTTTCCACCAACAGAACTATCGACCATTGCCATGACAGTGGTAGGTATTTGGACAAAGTTGATTCCTCGTTGGTAAATGGCCGCGGCAAAACCGACCATGTCTCCAATAACACCACCTCCCAGTGCGACAAAGGTAGCTTTCCTATCCAGGGCGCATTCCAAGGATTTATCCAAGATTTTCTGTAGCACTTCCATGGTTTTGTGTTCTTCTCCATCCGGCAATACCAAGGTTTCTACCTGCAAGTCAGAGTCCTGTTTCAAGAGTTGTTCGTACTTTTCCAAATACATGGGTGCAATTCGGTCGTTGGTGATCAAAAGTACTTTGGATCCCTTGATATGCGATTGCAACAATTGTGCGGCTGAATTTTAAGTTTTCCAGGATGGATGTAGATTGTCGAGAAGGTATCAGATAAATTTGAATTGGTTCAGGTAGATAGATGGGATAAAAATTGGGGCAGAAAAGATGACCTTTAGAAGACGGTACCCCAGAACATCAAACAGTGATTGAAAGAAGCGCCCAAATGAAAAAGACATACCTTCTCCATCGTCATATCCTGTACCAATGTAAATTGGATAATCACGGCCATCATCTAGATCCACCTTGACTATATCGTACTTGTCCGTCGAAACAGTGATGCTACCCTCATCGGCCATTCCCAGCTTGCCCACATGACGCTGTCTTTCTTGATGCCTGGTCTGAAACTGTGGCACAACCAGCGAGTGGCAAAGTGTCGCCAACACCAATAGCAGTCCTGTCGATCGTCGGATCATCATCTCCAAATTCTATTGTCCGTAGCAACAACCAAAGCAACGGCCGATACGAAAGTTCCTTTGTGTGGTTCCGAGCCAGTGCTCTTTTCTTGAACTTGAAGGACGGAAAGTGCGTGGTCAAACGATGATCGATCCGAATTCAATTCGATTGAATCGAATCGTCTCGTTGGATTCGATTCGATCCTTTTCGAGTACTATAATATCATACGATTTTAGCAAAAAGTGACTGAATTAAGTAGTTTTACTCTTGATCAGCACAAACTGCCGAATCGCCAAAACACAGGCTTTACTCTGTGGTAACTTTTCGGTTGTTTGACTTTTTCATCCCCCTTGGGAATCATCAGTGCTTGGGCTATTGTGGTACTTATGAAATCGAGGTTTATGTCGGCATGCTCCGTATATTTCGTTGCAGGAGTTGATCAGGTTTTCTGGCGATTCTCTGGATCGTTTCAGTATCTCGAGTCGCTCCCTGTTGCATAGGCTGCAGTGTCGTGTCCCGAAGGTCTTGACAGTGCTGATGGGGTTGCCTTGCCATAGGATGCTAATTTCGATGCTATTCCTTTGAATGTCGCCGTTAAGTCGGAATGGTGAAGGAGGTGCGAAGTTTTGGAATTCGTTGGCGAAGTGTCTTGCGTAGGAGTCTGACTTGCGTTTTCCGTAGAGGAGACGCATGACGTCGGTGAAGTGTTGGTATGTTCTTTCTTTGACGTTTCGTTGGGTTGCCCCAACATATTCCTTGCCTGAATTTATGCATTTGATGCAGTATATGGCCAGTTTATTTCTACAGCGGTCGTCGAATCGGCATTGGCCGTCTTTCTTGTTTCCTGGCTTGCAGTTGCAGGTTTCATTTTGGAACTCGGTGGAGATGACGTCTTTGGTGAGCTTCCTCGATAGGTCGCCCATGAACATCTCTCGCAGGTTGGTGAATCGATGGTAGGACATTGACGTTCTAATCCATTCAAGGCCATGGCTCTTCTTGAGGTCGTTGATTACCTTGTGTATTGGGGTCGTCCAGGCGTTGGAGTGTCCTATACAGAAGAATAATGATCGGTTCCGGTTCCTCTTTCGTTGCTTGGCATCTCTATCTGCTTCGTTTGCTTTGTCCTCTTGTCGCTGGGAATATCGTTGTATTTCTTCTTGTAGTGTTGGTATCTGGTCTGGAACCAATCCAGCTTTCTTCAGCGCCTCGATGTGTAGTGGGTAGATCTCATTGAGGGTTTGGTTGGCATTCTTGTTGGTAACTATAGTGAGTTTAGCGAGTCTTTGGAACACTCCTAGTGGGATGTTTTTGAGACATGCGTTTGTGTGGGTAGTTCCCCTGTTTAGATATTTCAGTTGTTGGTTCGGTTTAAGGTGGACTCGGAAGTGAAGTTCTTCCTGGTCCGACCAGAACAGTTCCATATCTAGATACGGGAATGCTTTGCCACTTTCTACAGTTACTTTTGGGTCGGATTGATCTTTTGGGAGTTGTCTTTTGGTTTGGTCTAGCCATATGCTACAGGTGAATACTAGGTAGTCTCCTTCGGCTAGGCTGTTAACTTTGGCCTGAAAATTGGCTCTCCATTCTACTATCATTTCATATGTCCAAGTTCCTTTGAAGATCGCAAAACCATCGTCTCTGTAGAGGCCATAGTATGATGTTTCTTCAAAATGGTCTTTGGTATTTTCTAGGATGTAGGCTCCTACTAGATCAGACAGCCATGCGGATTCATATCCACCAATGGTTAGTCCTTTCTCTTCTGGATCCATGTCTCCATCATATTCATAGTATTTGTCTTTGAATGTCAGTAGTGTAGAGTTCATCCCAAATTTGATCATGTCTAGGCAGTCATTTAGTCGTCTTTGGCATTCTGCGTCAAGATTCTTGGCAAAGTATTTGACTGCTTTGCGCACTAGTTTGAATCGAACTGAAGGGTAGTATGCTTCAGCATCGATCGATACTATTGTTGAGTTGCTAGTGTTGATTCCTAGTTTTTCTACTTGGCCTTTGAGGTCGGAGGCTTGGATGATTGTTTTGTCCATGTAGTCTATTTTATTGTCGTCTAGAATTCTTTTGATTCCTAGGTATCCGAGTTTAGGGAATGCCGATGTGTAGTTGTTGGCTGGTACAACAAGTCTAGTTTTCGAGTACTACTGTATTCAGTAGCTAGAGTGCTGTACTGTAGAATAACGAAACTATGGTCAAGTTTCTAGACTAGCTATGGTAGCTTGCTCATGTGTCCCACTTTTCTGTCATTGATGGTTTTTTTTTTAAAAGAATATTATTGTTATCAGCTGTCAAGTAAGTTCGCAGTCGGAGTTCGACGTGCCCTTTCGCTTGGAAAGGGCAGTGTTCAATTCTATTGTTGGCGGGGGGGGAGGTGGCGCAGTGGATGAGGAGGCCTTGGCGTTGGTGATGTACGGACTGTAGAGGACACGATGACAGCTGTGTGGATAGAGATCACTGCCTTTTCCAAGCTAAAGGGCACGTCTGGATCTCCGGATCTTCCCGATACTACACTTACTTGACAGCTGATAACAATAATATTCTTTTAAAAACCATCATGCGAAGTGGGACACGATGGGCAGTCGTACCATAGTAGTCTAGAATTGACCTGTTTGTTATTTCTATCAGTCAGCACTCTAGTGATTCGTATGTATCGAATAGACTTGTTGTCCAGCACAACTCTCGGGCTTCCCTAACTCGGTACTTAGGGAATCAAGTTCCTAGACGCATAATAGACTACATGCGACACTCTCCAGCTCCGACCTTCAAAGGCAGTAGAAACTAGGAATACGTGCCAAACTCCATCGTACTCGATCGATGCTGAGCATACGTACCCTTCAGTTCGGTTTTTTTCAAAAAAATAGTGCGCAAGCAGTCAATATTTGCCAAGTTGCGCGAATGCAGCGCTAAATGAACTGCCTAGGCTGATCAAATTGGGTATAATCTCAGGTATGAATTCAAGACTCTATGAATATGATGGAGATATGGATCCTGAAGAGAAAGGACTAACCATTTGTGGATATGAATCCGCATGGATGTCTGATCTAGTAGGAGCTTACATCCTAGAAAATACCAAAGATCATTTTTAAGAAACATCATACTATGGCCTATACAGAGACGATGGTTTTGTGATCTTCAAAGGAACTTGTACATATGAAATGATAGTATAATGGAGAGCCAATTTTCAGGCCAAAGTTAACAGCCTAGACGAAGGAGACTACCTAGTATTCACCTGTAGCATATGGCTAGACCAAACCAAAAGACAACTCACAAAAGATCAATCCGACCCAAAAGTAACTGTAGAAAGTGGCAAAGCATTCCCGTATCTAGATACGGAACTGTTCTGGTCGAACCAGGAAGAAATTCACTTGCCGAGTTCCACCTCATTTACCGACAACATGAATATATAAACAGGGACTACCCCACACGCCTATGTCTCATAAAACATAACTAGGATGTTTCCTAAGATCGGCTAACTCCTGTACACAGAATGCAACCAAACCCTGTCAATGAGTCTACCCTACCTCGAGGCTGTAGTTGTGGTTGGGTCAGACCAGTGCCAACCTTACAACGGAAGTGTGTGTGTAATACCGTTTCCAGCGACGGGACAAGCATTTTGTGTGTGGTGGGATAGAAAGTGCAGCGATGGAAGAGGAACTGGAACTGATCATTATTCTTCTGTATGCACTTTCCAGCCGGCGACGCCATCACAAGGTTCAGACTCAAGAGAGCCATGGCATTGACTGGTTGACCGTCAGTTGTCCTTCCTCGATTCGTGACCAACCTGCGAGAGTGTCAATGGGGACCTATTCGAGGGAGCTAACCAAGGACGGTCATTGCCACGAGTTACAATGAACCTGCACTGCAAAGAGGAAACAAGAACGTGTGATTCGACGACCGCTGTTAGAACTAAACTGGCCATATACTGCATCAAATGAATAAACTCAGGAAAGGAATACATTGGGGCAAACCAACGAAACGTCAAAGAAAGAACATACCAACACTTCACCGACTTCATGCGTCTCCTCTACGGAAAACGCAAGTCAGAATCATATGCAAGACACTTCGCAACGAATTCAAAAACTTCACACCTCCTTCACCATTCCGAATCAACGGCGACATTCAAAGGAAAAGCATCGAATTAGGTCATCCCGTATGGCATCGCACCCCATCAGCACTGTCAAAACCTTCGGGACACGACACCGCAGCCTATGCAACAGGAAGCGACTCGAGATC